CTGAGCCGTCCAATTGACGGTGACGTTATTGAAATAGTGTGTCCTGAAGCGTGAGATCCTGATTTGCAAGCGTCGCTTTCACTCAGTGTTTTACCAAAATGTGGCTGCCCGAGGGCTCGTCCCATAAAAGGGCTGCAACTAGCCGGAGTGGTTTGGGCTGCCGTCTCCCCAAAATAACCACTTGTAGCTTAGGGCTGCCAGAAGAACTGTATGCAATCCAGAGCAATAATTTCTCTCCACTTAGCTGCAGTCCGGGGGAGACAAGACGGTCTTGCTCTAGACTCCTTCCTTTACGCAGCCCCGCCACCCTCCCACGCAGCCCCGGACCCCTCTGACTGCCGGCACTAACGCCTCCGCTGTGGCCGTGCAGTCTCCTGTTGGGAATCGGCCTCTGGGGTGTACGGGAGAGGCTGCTTCTCTGAGGCAAGGAATGGGCAACGCTGTTTTCCTGCTTAAATAAAGACTTGGTGCCTCTTGGAAGCCAAATCCCGTTGCAGTGTTCTGTGGGAGAAGCCAAGCCAACCGTCACTTGGTGCTCTTGCAGGTCGGTCTGTGCATATAGACTAGATCTGAGGGAGCCGATTGCTTATATGTATATAAAGATTCCTACTTTCATTTTTAAAGAGAGTAGGGATGGCAAAAGCAAATAAATAAAATAGGATGGCCATGATAGGGAGGAAGCTGCATGGCTGCTGGATGTTAGAAGCTGAGACACGAGTGACGAATGAGGCCAGTTTCTGTATTTGGCTGCTCTGTGTGTTCCCTTTCTGGGAGATAAAATCTGTTTGGAAATATTTTACCACTATTTTGACCCATTTCGTGCTGTGTTTGCCTTCACTGTCTTTCACACAGTATTTTCATTTGGTCTGCATAGTCCTGTGGAGACCAAAGACTGGATGTGACACAGAAGTCCAAGTTCTGTGGGATCCAAGAGAAGCTTTAGGATGAGGCTGCCGGCAGTTTTTCTTACTATACACATTTCATCTGAACATCAGCTATCGTTAGGAGACTAAATACATAAGTGCTCACCTCTTCCTAGCCTGTTAGTATTGGCAAGTAAGATACTTCCATAAAAACTTGATTCCATAGAGTTATAGATCAAATACTGGGAGAAAATCTTTTGGTATCAAGTGTCTTTTTAAAAATATGAATTTAAAACGTAGTTTTGGATCTGAAACTGCTCCAAATCAATTCATTAGGTGTTTCGCAGAACTCTTCAGCAAGCAAACTCTAGAAAGAACATTTATTTTTGTACAGTTGACAGGGGAGTCCAATGCAATGTTTAGATAAGTTAACATTTAATAGTCCTCTTAACAATTGAAAATACAATGCATTTTTAGTGGAGCTAAAATTGTATCTAAACAGTACCCACTAGCCTAGCACTAATATCTAGATGTATTCTTGGGGTTTATGACGTGCTTGAATATACTATCTCCAGGATGAGGGGAAGCGAGGAATTAAAAGCACCTTAGCTGGAGCTGGTAACAGTTACCATGAATTGTTCCTACAAGTCATTAAAGTGGTGTTGGAGGGAAAT